TTTGTCCCATTTTTATCTTTTAGTAATTCTGATTTTAGAAACTTGTAATAGTAATATGTAAAAGCTATATTTTCAAATAGGTACTTCGATTATTATACCATTCAACGAGTGTGGTAACACAAACTTTGTTTTTTTCAAACAATAACTGCTTTTTAATGTAAATGTTAAACACATATTTCTTTGAAAATGTTGACGCATATTTATTTGAAATTTAAACTAGTAAGTAGTAGGCAATTTTGGAGTTATTAAACTCTTTGCAAGTACTAAGGATAACAATTAAAAGTTCTTAATAATGGTTTGACATAAAATAATAAATATAGCTGGATGTAATATTTAGCCTAGTACTTATCATAGGTAGGTACTCCGATATTCCTACAATTTTTAAAAATATTTATTATTAAACAGGTACATATTATTAATGTTAGGTAGATAGTAGATTCTATACAATTTTCCACATATCTTTTTAGTCTCTACTATGGACTTCTTACTTTTTAGAACACCAAGATTAAGATTTAGTAACTCGGAAAGTATACACTTTTGAATTGTCATTGATGTACCATGTAGATACCTACATTAACATGTTCATAAAAACCATGTGTTTTACAATTTACAATGAAAATTGCTGATTCTCGTTTGAAAAAAAAAATTGTATGGCCACAGGACGCTATTTAAATTATATAAAAAAAGTCTAACCATTTTAAAATAGGTCATTAAGTACTTACCATACATAGCAAAGCAATTAAATAAAAAATTGATAAATAATTTAAGGTGTGCCTACATACTTAGAAAAATAAAAAATAAAAATTTGAATAAAAACATTATAATATTAAAAGAAAAGTTCGTAGTGTGGCTGCAGTTTATTACGGTGAGTTCATATTATTATACAGCGTTTATGGTAATCAATATTTAAAACATTTACAAGTGTTTCTGCATTCAACAAGTAAACGGGCCGACACGATTTCTAATATAATAATAATTATTATTACACGTACAGTGACTTCATGGGCCACGAGGATTAGACCGCGGCACGTGGACGGACCACGGCGGCGCACGTGCCGCGCACATAACACTCCAACACAAAGCGTATACATGAAAGAGGAGATCTTCTTGATCACATAACGTTAATATACTACAATAATAGCCAATATCAGGAGTTTCAGAGTCAGTGGATTTTAAAACACTTGACACTTGTAAGTAGTGTTGGATTCAAGGTGTGAATTTGTTTTTTTTTTATTTCCATAATACTACGAACCTAATATTCTACACTTATTTGCTCACGAAGCGAGTTACATTCAAACCCACGTATCTTATATTCTTATGCATAAAAACCGTCCTTGTCTTTTTACCATAAGTACGTGTATATTTTATATTAACTATGAATCGATAACAGTATGCCGGCGCTCCGTTATTGTTTTCTCTCTCTGTGACCTACACGATTTGCTTGGTTGAATGTAAGGTTAGCAGAACCAACCCTGTGTTGTTATTCTTAATATTACAGTGAATAATTAAACTATTATAAATCTTTAAGTTAAGAACATTGTACACTGTGTCGCTAAGTTGAATATTACGACGTTTTACGATGATTTAATTTGTGTGCAAAGTATATGCATTTTTAAATTATAATATAGTACAGGCTCATAATTTGAGTAAAAATTAAAAAAAATCATAAAACGGCCAACTTAAGGGGATTGGAAGCGGCGATTTTCTGTCTTTATCTAACACACGTGGAACATAGGATTATAGACGTGTTCTATGTCCAACGTACCGATTAATCTAATGAAGCGATAAGAATTCTGAAAACAGATTTGAATTTGTCGTCAAGTCTACTTGAGATCGACTTTCCCACATTTTTGATTTTTTGATTTAAACTTCTCCAAAAGTTGAAATTTGTAAATTTTTTAAGTACTTTTTAAAATATATCATTTTTATGATTTTGGTGGGACAATATAAAAAATGTGGGAAAGTCGATCTCAAGTAGAATTGACGACAAATTCAAATCTGTTTTCAGAATTCTTATCGCTTCATTAGATTAATCGGTACGTTGGACATAGAACACGTCTATAATCCTATGTTCCACGTGTGTTAGATAAAGACAGAAAATCGCCGCTTCCAATCCCCTTAACGACCCAGGTAATACTTAGCTTAAAGTTTGATCATGTACAGGTGAATTCACTATTTGACTTTAAAACTACAATTACTACACTATATATTAACAACATATAGGGTTGGTTCTGCTGAACGTGAATTTGATATTTAACACGTGGGTTAGTGAGGGAAAACAAATAGTGCGCCGACATCTATCCCAATAATTTGAAGTAACGTCTTTTTCAAGTCTCAGCAAAATTAAAATAACAATTTAAAAAAAAAAAATCAAAGATTCGCACATTGTTTAATTCATATAGTAATATTATAATAATGTACGAATCAATTGTCATTTATTCCTTGTAGGTTTTTTTTATTGATTTTAAATTTAAGCAACCTATTTAGATACCTACTACTAAAATTAATCTTCAAACAGGATTGAAATCAAAAACTTTCACTCTGACTTCATGCGTTTCCGAAGGATCTATATCGCTATTATTACAAATTATACATCAAAACCAAAAACATCTACATAAACTTTCGGTAATAACAATAATATGATAAAACTTATAAATAATAATATAAAAATAATTCGCTATAATTAGTATTCATTCTGTATCCCACCAATGATATTATATACATTTAATGATGAGAAACGAGTTCTATTCTGATCGGCGTTTTTGATTCAAATATCAAATTGTGTAGGTAGGTAATATCACAGACTTATAATGTCTACGCATAATAATATACGCTTTATTCATATTTTTATAATAATGTATAATTGTTTAAAGTTTAAACGGTGACAACGTGGAACATTGTTATTTAATTAAAAACCAAAAAACCGCATGTTCGTACACGCGTGACGGGTTCGTCGATGGAATAACAATATCGTATTAGATAATCTTGATTTAGTGGAACATAATACTATAGTATAATATATACGATATACCGTAATATATATAATAATATATCGCCGCCGAAGACAAACCAGCCGATGACCGGAACCCTTCCGGATTTTCCGGACCGTGCGCTAATAGGATATTGAACGGCCGGCGAGAGCGAGCTCGTGGGGGGAGGGTGATCGGATGGGGACGCGATTTCGGCGGTCTGCGGCTAATAATACGCGAAACGTACGAAAAAAAAAAAATAAAACATAAAGACCATCCCCAGTGCGCCCAAAACGGTCGCGGACGCGTTACGGGCCGCACGGGCACGCGGCCCGCACTCTGACCACCCCTGCGGGGCTCGCAGCACGCGTTTTAGGGGGGCGCGACCGGGCTTTACGCGTACACACATCGTATTATATACGTATATTGTACGCGTGTGCGGTGCACGACGTATAATGTTGTAGATGCGTATCGAATCGCGCGCGGAACGAAATAGCTTTTGTGGCGGATTTTCACAATGCGAATTACGTACGGTTGCAGCACCTGTTCGCGGGCCACCCCGCCATTACTCATTGCTCGTGTATATAATATACAAGTCATATTAATAATATAATGCCGGTTCGGTTTTGATTGAAATTTCGTCGGCCGCGTCTTTCGCAAAAAGGGTTGCGCGCGCGATACGCACACTATCTCGGCGCGATGGTCGGTATATACACGTCATGCGTGCATGTGTGTGTGCGGCCAGTATGAGAGCCGAGTTTTTCAATTTTTAAGGGGGAAAAAAAAAATCAAAAAAATCGGGTAGGTGGATGTCGCTCTGGTGTACAGTAGGTCACAGTAGTGGGTCACTGTAATGAAAGGTATTAAATTTGAATTCAATGATAATAATAATATAATATCATTGTAATACAAGAAAAATGATTCTGAGCGAAGACGGTTAATCGGTCTAGGATAATTTATATTCCATATTGTTATTGCTAATTGTAAAATTACAAAAAAATAACCGAATTCATTATTCTTGGCTAGGTATTTCCTATGTACCTATAATTTCGTCCAAATTTGAACTTCAAATAACGATAAAAAAAACTATGTATATATATTTTTATATTTTTTGGTTACAAAATTAACTACTTACGTGTAACCAAGTTTTAAATTTTCAATAGTAGCTATAAACGTTGTTTTTTGTAAATTTTTAACTACAAAAACATTTTAAAATTTAAAATTGTATATATTTTGTAAAAATTCGGAATTTAAATGCTAATAAAAAAAGTTGTGCCAGTGTATTTTTAATATTTTTAACTGTTATTGCAACAATATAGCAGGAACCTTGTATTAAAGTTTTACACTTTTTGACATAACGAAGAAATTGAAAATGTCTGTTGACAACTCAGAATCTAAATTATGTAATAAACAGGTGCGTTACCTGTACCTACCTACCGAAATCATAAATTGTTATCAAGCAGCGTATTATTATGTACTTTATTTTGTACAATTATGTACAACCAAATTTAAATTTTGTACAACTCTAGAACCCTCCCCCCTGATTGATACTGCTTGATTACAATTTTTTGAAATAAATAAACATTTTTAAATACATAGATAGTAAAAAAAGAAAAATGTTGATTATTGTAGAGTATAACAATTGTAAACCATAATAATATAATAGTGTTTTAAATTTTAAAATTAAAATAACGACGGTTTGGTCTTAACGCTTGACTAATATTAACTACACATATTTTTTTTTTTACCTATAATGAATACCTTTTTTTATTGAACAAAAAATTTTATTTACAATCTATAATTACATTTACATGTATTACAATAAGTAAATGGGATGGGGATGATTAGTGGGAGGGGGAAGTCACCCAATGGTGGCACCCCGTAAACTACACATCTACATTATTATTTATATAGTACCATGAAATGTTTGTTCAAGGAAGTTATAAAATCTAAAATACGAGAAAGCTGATATAACATTTTATTTGATATGACGTCGATTGTAGTTTCCCAATTCTCTGATATTTTAGATATTTAAAGTATGCATTTTTGATTATGGCGATTAGCAAAAATATTGAACTCTTTGTTGAACTTTCTCACAACGTTGATTTCTATCATTAGAACTATAAAAAAGTAATAATTATATTTCACATTGATTAGTTGTCATAATAATCATATTATTATACTTAAACGTTAAACAAAAAACTTACCTATAATTGTAATCCCAAGTTTTAAAGGTATATAACAATATATATTATCATCTGAAGAACAGGTTCGACCTTTAAACAAAAATCCAACGAAGGTTACAACGGAAATCACAAAGAAATCTACATGCCAACGTAGCCACGACTTCACTTTATTTCCATCTGCGGGCTAAAAATAATATCAATATTTTAGAATTATTATTAATTTATTCTATGCAATCAGGCAATCTTATTATAATATTATTTTTTAAATATAATCTAATGAACTACCTACCTAATAAGTGATAACGAGAATTTTTTGAGTATCTCAGTTTAATAAATTGTATTAAAAAAAGAATCGGGGATATAACTTTGATGTGTGATTGATTTTCAGACACCTATAATTATAATTTCATAGAAATAGGATATGAAATATTTTCAGAATTAGCTTTAAAAATAGACCAATGAAGGATTAAATCACAACAAATTTTTTATGATAACCATCATCTTTTATGATAAATTTATTATTGTAATCTATAATCTCATAGGTAATAAGTAAATCGAATTTAAAACTAGGGATCAAAATTTAAGGAAAAAAAAGGTTTTTCGAAAAAAACCTGGGTTTTTTACCATTTTTAAGGGAAAATTTGGAAAATATGGTTTCATTTACAATTATTGAAAAAATGGTTTTGACGAAAAATAATAATAAATAATTTATAATCACATAAAAATATATTATTGTATCCCGCATTTCCGCCAATGATGTTTTGCTGTCGTATTTTCTTAGTCATTTGTTAGTTCGTGCGCTGTGCCGATGTTTATATATTTCCTACAACTTACAAGTAATGTTAATTATATAACATTTAAAAATACAGGTGATTTATTTTTGGGGAAATACCAATTTGATATGTAACTACGTTATATGTAGAACAAATATTGAAATATCCGTATTAACTTTTTTAATAGTTTAATTTTAAATTTAAATTCAATAATACATTGATATAACCGTATTGGAAAATGTGAAATGATAGTGACAGGTTTCTTTATCTATTTTTTAAAATGGTTTTTTTTTTACATAGATTATTTTAATTTTTAATTGTAAATACAATTTTTTAATTTTCCGAAAACTTCGGTTTTTTTTTTGGAAATGTATTATTTTAATATTCTCCAATTTTTCCACGTTTTCCGAGGTTCTGGAAAAAAACTGGGTTTTCCGAAATTTGCCGGCATTTTGATCCCTATTTAAAACTTTATCGAAAAAAAAACCTGGAAACTGGCTTCGCTGTATGAAAAATTTCGAATGTACCTTATCGTTGAGTAGGTCAAGCTACCTGGAGTATAGGGGCCTGTTGAAATAAACTTGTAATTTCGTTTTGTATTAAATAATGTTTTATGATATAAATGTAGGTATATTATAACGGATTTGGTAAATTGAGTCCTATATTACTATTTTTAGGTAAACTGAGTCCCCTGTAAAAAAATTAAAGCGGTGAATTGAGTCCCCTGTAAAAAAATGAAAGCGGTGAATTGAGTCCCTTGTGAAAAAATGAAAGTGGTGAATTGAGTCCCTTATAAAATATTTATTCTAGTAAATTAATAATGCTTATTAAATAGGTAATCAATGTCAACTTTTAAATGAATAATACATAATACATATAATAATTAATTTTGTCAATAATAATAATAATGGGTAATCAATGTCAACTTTTAAATGAATAATACATAATACATATAATAATTAATTTTGTCAATAATAATAATAATGGGTAATCAATGTCAACTTTTAAATGAATAATACATAATACATATAATAATTAATTTTGTCAATAATAATAATAATGGGTAATCAATGTTAATATAATAATAAATAATACTCTTGATATTAAACGGGTAAATATTTTAATGATACGAGCTTAATAAATTGAAGTCTACTAATTTCATTATTTTTGTACTTCGTCATTTGTTCTCTTAATATATTCTCCTTTTCTATGTTGTGTTTTGATTTTTTGCATAGCTCTTTACTTCTTATTTGAATATATGTATTAGATTGGATTTCTTTGAGTGCATCAATAAAAATATAAATATTTGGATGTGAAGTATAAAATAAACTATTCAGCTTTGCGTGAAATGATTCACAACTATTTGTTGTACGATTAGATATTGTCGAAAATTCAGCCCAAAGATTAGGCGGGAATGTAGAATCTGATGCAATGTATGTTTTTAAAATATAATCGGTGAATAATTTTATATTTTCATTTGCAGGAAGCTTTGGCATAATATCTTCAATGAAACAATCGTAAACATCGTTCGGTCTTAAAAATGGTAAACCAAAAAAAATTTTTAAAAAATTACTTTCTTCCGAATTTCGTTTTTTATAATTTGTACTTAAGCCAAGGCATTGTATTTTTTTCCACCAACTTTGTCCAAGGTGAAAACGACAACCTTTAATATTAATTGCTGGCCAAACTTGTTGCGCGGCATTATGTATAGATTTTTCAAAGTCAATAAAAATATATTTTGGTGAAAATGTTAAACCAACAATTGTACACTGGTCCATCGTATACTTAAAAGAATAAAAATAAGATTTGGTTTCCTTATTTGGCAATAAAAAAAAAACTAGTGGTACATACATTTCATTCACAAGTGCGTGAATTGTAAAGATTTGTAAAAAATATTTGGGACAACTTTTAAAAGTACCGTCAACGTATATCGTATTTGTATCACATAAAACCATTAAGTTGGACGTTGTTGAAAATCCGATAATATTATTATCGTGATCATTAACCATTAGAAAGGGTTCGTCCGTATTTGTTTTAATTATTATTTTATTAATAACTTCATGCGTTTCAATTACAGTTTTTGGTAAATTAGGGTGGATAGTTGATCGAATATTTCGTATATTTCTTTTAATAAGAGTCGTATCTGACAAAGTTAATGTATTTACGTTTTCTCTTTGTAATTCGGAATGTAAAAGTTTGAATGGCTTACTTGAAATATCTTCGACAGCTTTTCGTTTGAGACTATTGCTAAGTTTTTGCCGGTTCAAAGTTTTTTCGTCTGGTTTATTGTGTTTGTGATCTTCAAAACTATCAATAACTGTGTTTGAATCATTGATTTTCATATAGCACTTACATGTACTTAAGGAGCAAGTCCACCGCTGAACTTCATTCTTTAACATTTTATGGAACCGAAATTTGTAACCATTAGAAATAAAAATTGTTTTATTACGTTCACTTTTCATTACGTCCATTATTAATGTTGATATAGATGTGCTTTATACTCGCAATAACTAATGGTGCACGACTGTCGACTGTATGTATAGGTAATTTTGAAAACTAGTCTACAGTAATCGCATCTAAAAACGATAAGATAAGTATTTTATTAATACGCGACATTGATGTGCTTATATGCTCGCAATAACTAATGGTGCACGCGCGATTATACGTATAGGTATAATTATTGGACGTTTTTGTATAGGGCCCACAAAAAATGTATAGTTTTACTTAAACATTTTAACCTTTAAAAAATGTCATTGTCATTATTTTTGAACTGCTCTTATAACAACTTGTGAAAAACCTTGTATTCGACAATAATTAAAAATAAAATCGAAAATTCCTCATGACTATAAATAGCTTAAAAAGACTAGGTAACCTTATTTTGAAAATGTTATCATGTATATACTATGATAAAATAAACACTATTAATCAACATTTTCTAGTAGGTACTTCCTAGTATCTTTAATAGATAAATCATGACTACAGTCACCAAATGGTTACGCAAGGCGCTGATAGATAATTGATGATGTCAAGGTATTCGTTTAATTTAAAAAAATATAATTACTAAAAATATTAATATTTACTATATCTGTAGATCTTAAGCCATTGTTAACAAAAATCATTTTTATCAAAAACGCTACAAATAGGCAAATAAAAATAAAAATTCTCCATTCTGTCGTGACCACCGATGTTTGTTTTTCAACTGAATGATACATTTCACACGATTTTTTCCATTTATCTATAAGAATATAAAGCAAACATACAATATAATTTGAAATCATTAGAAAAAATATATTTTTTATAATTTTTTTTAAAGTTTTAAATTTAACAACATACCTATTGGATTTCACATAATTTCAGATAATAGAATATATTTCAAAATATGTCGTCATATAAAAACCAAATTTAAAATGAGCACCTACTTTATGATATATACAAATATTTATGATGATTGTTTGTAAAGCAAGTTAGATATTGCATCGAAAACACAATACCCCGAGCTGAAATTAATTTATTTCTATTGCATTATTTTGTGTTCAAGTCGTCATTCGTCAATGATAATTAGTTTGATACTTTGATAGTGTGAGTGTGATTGTATACGAGTGCTGGGCAACTGCTGTTGTCAACATGTCTCAATCCCGGTGGCGGAAATTACGATTGCGGAGCCACACTATTTTACATCTATTTTTCTGGGTTATCACTTAAAATCAAATATAATATATGTGATATAATAATATTTAGAACAACTTTAATCATGTCTTTTCTAATGTCTCATATTTTTTTTATTTAAGTAAAATAATGCAGTAGAATAATGTAATCTATATTATATATAAATTTGAAAATGAGAATCTTTGTCAAGCTGGTTTTCGAGAACCACTCATCCGATAGTCATGCTGTTTTTTTAAAATAATAAGCAGAAAGGTGTATAAATTGTTTTAACCCCTATAATAGGTAGCTATAGGATAGGGCACACATGCATTTTTTTCAGCTCGTGAAAAACCAGTATAATTTTTGTTTATTTTTATATGGTTGCTATTGGTTAAATTTTGAATTGGGTACATACTATATATTATAATTTCATTATACTAGAAATATTACATGCCCATTTTTTTACAAATATATTTAAAACATACCTTGGGCAAGGACAACTTCGGAGAGGACAGCTAGTATAATATAAATTAAGAATTAATGTATAGCATTATAAAATCTCATACTGATAATTAAAAAACTGTAATTAATAATAATCAACATTCAATATTATTACTATGAAATATCAAATCATAATAAATTTATCCTATACATAAATATTATATTCGATAAGTGATAACCCTGGTGAGTAAAATAGTGTAGCTCCCCAAACGTAATTTCCACCACCGGAATGACACCACCTACGAAAAATTTAAAGCGCTCAAAACAGGAAAATCTCTGGGAATAACTCTCAAGTATTGTAGAGTGGTCTAATTTGATTAATTTTTTTCTCACTACTGCCGCAGTAATCGTAGATTGAATTTAACGTTTACTTGATTAGTTGTTTACTCTGCATTAGACACTGATAACAAATGTGCAACAGTATACATTGATCTAGCTAAAGATGTTGACACAGTGGACCACAACATACTATTGTCAAACTAGTTGGTATCATAGGAATAGAAAATACTGCATTCAAACTCATTAAGTCATATCTGTCCTTATGCCCCCAATTCGTAAAAATTAACAATACACAGGTTCAGGTTCAGGAGTTCAGGTCAGATAATTAAATTTGGTGTCCCCCAAGGCACATATTTATCTCCTCTTCTTTTTGATATTCAAATAAATAATATTAACTCACTGCCCTTAAGAGGGAATGCTTTGCTGATGATACAGCCCTAATAGTGACTGGAGACTCCTGGAACTACGTCCTTCAAAAAATCCAAAATGATATTAATGTCATAGGTACAAACCTGGTTATTGGAAAACAATCTATTCCCAAATATTGAAAAACGTTCAAGTTTCAACATGAAATACCGACTTTCTTAATATAATCCTTATTACATTGCACTCGAGCGGTTGTCGAAGTATTAACTCATGTGCATGTGGAAATAAATTAAACATCAGCACATCCGTCAAATACTAAGGATAGAAATGAGTAGAAATCAATAAATGGACAAAACATAATATAAATCTGCTAGTAACCGAATTACGTAAAACTCATCTATACCTTTAATCATTTAAAACGCATACTAAACCTTTCCCAAGTTAAAAGTGTATATAAAAAGCCTTAGTCAAATCACTGTTAACCTACAGAATAATTACATGGGAAAGTGCATGCAATTCAAACCTTAAACAACATCAAACCAATCAAAACAACATACTAAGAAGTACTTATATTAAATAAAAATGATACTTTCATAATTTAAACTTATACTCAGAGTTCAAGGTACCAACAATAAAAACTCTTCTTTAAAACAACAGTTATCTATTCAATTAAAAACAATTTAAATAAACCATTAAAACATAATAATTTTAATGATCGATATAAATTGAATAATGTCATTGTCCCCAGAACTCGCAAAGCTACTATTCAAACTTCTTTTTCTTTTGTTGGGCCGTACATATTTAATAAACTTCCCCTAGAATTACGTCATCTAAATTTAAAGACTTTAAATTAAACCTATCATACAGGCTACTTCAGCAAGTTGCATACTGTATGTACATATTGTCCTATAAATCTGTAATATTTCTATGTTAGCTTTTTATATCCTACTGTTAAATAATTTATGTAAACTGTATTTTATTTTATAATATTTTCCCTTTCTAGAAACGGCATTTATTTCTATAATACCTATGTATCATAAATAGTGGTTAAGTTAATTATAAGATCTCATGAGCCCTCATACGAAACTGTTCAGTGGGGCGGGGGGTTCATTATGTTTTTGATGAATAAAAAAAAATTAAAAAATTAAAAAAAATATGTAATAAGAGTTAATTTTTAAAAATTAATAAAAATATTATTGGTTAAAAATTAGTGATTGTGAGTAATTTAATACTGTTGTTATTGATTGGTTTGTAATATTATAAAATTATGTAGAAAACAACTTTTGTTTATTTAAAAATCGTGGTCATAATCTAGAAATCACTGTTAATGTTATAATAATAATATTATAAAAAGTCACATAACATCCTCGTAGGTTAATTTTTTGTTTTTAAATAACACAACAATATAGGGTAGCTATTAAGCTAAAATTATGTACCATCTGTGAAGAAAATTATTAACTTTTTATTATTCAAATAGGAATTAATAATAAAAAATAAAATACCATGGGAGGATCTTATAATATCGAATTGCTCAATGATTACGATGATCACACTTAATTATTATAGAGCTACGTGAAATTACAAACCCTGAACTGTTCGAAACTGATTTTATCATTTTATTAAAACAACTTGAGTACGTATATGAGTTATTTAAGTGTAAAATGAATGTATTTTATACATACCATGTTTGCAATAAGGGTAACCAATTGTAGTTACCAACGGTAATAGGCACATTACTAATATAACCGTTATAAAATAAAGACATATCTGAAAAAATCATTTACACACATTTTTATAAATTTGAAAATGTAGGTAGGTAAGTACATAAGATTATTTTTAAACACAAATTTGCCGTGTTGTCTGTGTGACTGTGTATAATATATAATATATAGAGAGACACACAGATAAAGGTAATTCGCTATATTCCATGTATGGAATATGCGTGCTAGACAGAGGAACAGAGAAGCGAGAACAAGTGTAGCGTGCGGACATTATACGAACAATATTATTATAGCTTTTCTACATACCTTGTTTATAATGCCAATAAACCTACATCGATTCCACAGGACCGCCAGTGCAGCTTCGTCAGACACCATCGGACTTTGGGTCGGTTGCGCGTCTAGGTGTTTTACGTATGCGTTGAGTATACATTCAATTTTTTTTTCGTTTGTGATGGAAATTTCGTCACAATATGTAAGAACTTAAATGCCCTAAATATATATATATATTGTAATATAATATGTACCTTCAATCCAGTGTATTTACCACAAAAGTCTACAAACGGAATAAATCTATTACAACTTATAACCTCATGTCCTCATCACGTATAGTCGCAATTGATCCGTAGCTATGTAAGCTATTATATGAGACTGTATAGTAGGTACATACTGCGTGGTCGCGTGGATACCTGTTCACTATAAGCATAGTTTATTATGAAGTGACGTCGAACCAGCACTTCTGGCGACGAGTTATATACTTAAATATTATGGTGGTAGGAACTGACACGCTGATAACTCCAACTGTAGGTACATAATACAGTAATATAAACCTATACTACTCGGCACTCGAAACCAAATTCATAACGAAATTTTAGAGTTAAAACATTAACTTATCAAAGATGATTAATAGCAGTGTGTACAGCGTGTAGATATTATGTTTGCTCAATAGTTATAGATAACGTACACATTATTATTTGAACTGTTCTGTAGTGTTCTTTGTTAATTTTAATATTTACATTTGTTGCAAATGTAAATAAAGTACAAAATATTTTTAAAAATGAAGTTGGATAACTAACATGCTTGGTAAATCCAACGTGTATATTAAGTACCTATATATTATGTTATGTACTAGCTGATCCCGTGCACTTCGTTGTCCGTTAAATGTACCAACTCTGTATGACTCAAACTTTGTTCAACCCGTGGTAGATTTTGATGCGGCCCTCATTTCAATTTAAAAACGGCTAGACTAGTTGTGAATGCCGAGTCAATGTCGACCAATATTTCTTCCTCATCCACGAAGACGTGACATTGTTTTATGTCCGTAACTTATATATGTGAGTATAATACGCTCAATATTTACGTAATTGCGATACATATAATATAGCACTTTGATATCAGTTAAATATACCAACTCTATATGACTCAAATTTTGTTCAATTCGTTATTTAATATTCGGTGTATGGTGTTCAAAACTTAGCTTAACTTTTCCGTTGCCCGGAATAAAAATTCTGGTTTGCAGCAGTATAGATATATATTATCAGGTAGGCAATCTACCTACTGTAGATCACGGACCCCGTGTGGTTTGTACAATGTACTTAAGTGTATAATTTAAGATTTAACTCTAAAGTATCAAAGTTATACCAAGTTTGTTGTTTTTACTTAATTCAACCTACGGCAGATTAGTTCAATCAATTAATATAAAATCTTAACCTAGGTAACCTAACCGTACTAAAATCCAATGAATAAAAAAAACCAAACATTAGTATGTACCCATATAGATAAAGAAGAAAAATGAAATAAGAAAAATAAGAAAAAAAAATGTCAAATTAATGCAAAAATTGGTCCACCGAACCCGTGGTTCGAACTTGAGACATTCTGTACTAAAATATATAGAAGTGCACCTAACCTAACCAACAGGATTTAAAAATAATAATTATTATTAAAACCAATATAGCAACCATTAACAAACAAAAATTTTCATCTTAAATATCAAAACCCCGGTTTAAGCACCTCCCCAACTTGGACTTCTAATTTACCCTTTTTAAATTAGCCTATCTTTTTCCCAGAGGTATAATTTATCTCTGTACCAAATTTCATCGCTATCCGGTCTAGCCGTTTAGGAATGCATAAAGGACAGATAGACAGACAGACAAACAATCTTTTTAGATTCTGAGCGGAGCGAGGGAAGCTAGTGGTTTTACAATGATGTTTATTTTTTTTTATCCTGTAAACAAAATGTCTACTAGAAGGAGTGCTTCGATTTCTACATAATAAGTATCTTATCTTTTGGCAAATATTGGATCAAGATGGTACTTTAGAGAGGTCATTTTTCGATTTTCTCAATAGTTTTTTAACACCACGGGAAGAACCACCAAAGTATACTTGCTAAGCTACTTTTTTTTTTCTAACACTTTGTTTATCAATATAGAAACGAATAAAATTTTAAAATATAACCGCTAAAAATGTATGAATTTATATTTATATATTTAATTTAATTTACTATTGAACATATTATAAACATAATTTATGAATCTAGTTTCAAATTATGTAATATTATTTATTAAACATATTAAAATTTCTAAATACAAAAAGTACCTACATGGCTAAATATTGTACAAATCAACATAGTGCCTAACACATGATAGGTACCTAAGTACATTCTTTACCGTATACACGCGGGACTCCGCAGAGATGACTTGTGGGAGCCATATTTGTTTTACAGTCGTTAGTGACGAATTAACGATAATATCGATAGATCTCGCTAGAGAGCGTTCTGTGCTTTACGGCGGCCCGGTGTCGTAGCACAGAGTGAACAGAGAGATATATATACAGGAAAACGGACGATATTTTGATTTTTACATGCAACGTATATGGAGATCCAAAAAAAACTTCGGAGAAGTAAAACAAGTCTTCTGTGCTTTACTTAAATGGATTGGAGTACTTGAATTTTGAGGTAAAGAAAAAATTGAAATCAATATCAAAATTCTGTGCTTAGTAGGTGCAAGAGAGAGTATAAAGAAAGTTCCTGTTAAAATTGTGGTAAATAAAGAAGTGAAATCAAACCTCAAAATTCTGTGCTAAAACTTAATTGACTATTGAAGAAAATTGCATGTAAAAATCAAAATATCGTCCGTTTTCCTGTATATATATCTCTCTGTTCACTCTGTGCTACGACACCGGGCCGCCGTAAAGCACAGAACGCTCTCTAGCGAGATCTATCGATCGGTCGAATTTACTAGTTTTTCGCTTTCGCAATACTGCGTTGAGTTGTGACGATATGCGCATGCGTGAGTGCGTGACCTTGATTGCACGGCGGCGCGGCAGTGTGGCATAGCGCACTCCGCAACGCGCTTCCTACTCCTAATTCCTATTACTATTTCATTTGCTCACTATCCGCCGTTCTGCAGTAGAGATGTGCAAAACGGGTCAATTAAACGATCCGGTTCATTCGGATCGGGTCTTCCAAAAGACCCGTTCGTGTGATTCGTTCAATATTATTCGTTCGTTTTTTCAGCAGTGGCAAGTCTAGGGTGGGGGTGCATAGGAACCAACATGACCCGTTCGTGTGATTCGTTCAATATACTGTATTGTTCAATGTACTCTAAATATAATGCATATTATTACTTTTCTATGATAATGCATAACTAAACTAATAATGTGTAATATTTATTCCACGGACTAAGATATATCTTAGTCCGTGATTTATTCTTTATTATCACGATCGATTCGATTGTTATCACATTCAAGACGTACAGTGTAGGTATTCAGATGTAAAAAAACGAACAATATTTGGCGACCAGAATCAAGTCATTCGGCGATCCGGATCGGTCTCGTTCACTACTTTGACCCGTTCAATGTGATCCGTTCGTTCGCGAACAACACATCTCTATTCTGCAGGTTGTGTGTAGCACTGTAGCTATATTGTCTGTCCGTTCGATTATTATTTATTACCATCCGTACGGCGTACATTATTACAATAACAGTGATAAACGTACCGACGGTCGGCCGTATGTTAATCTTTCTCTCCTGTCTCGCGGAGTCCGTATTTTATGCAAGTACTGCATAAACTACTAATTAAAAGACCATGGTCGATCAATTCAAAAAATGCTCACATATTAGTATTAGAAGAGAAATAATATATAATTATAGAATAGATTATCAAGGTACTTTCCTGTTATACTAGACTACCCTGTTTTTTGAGAACATCACAATCCTGTTATCTAAGACTACCAAAATTATACTTTCCTGTTATACGAGACTACGGCTATTATCGCGACTTCCACCAAAGACTACCTCCGTTATGGCGACTACCTATCTTATTTAGCTGACATTATAGTCGAACGATATCCATAAGCTGCGATTATATTTATTATATTTGTGGATTTATCATTTTGTATTATTATTATTATTTTATTATTTTATTGTTTTCCGTATGCCGCGACAAATTTGGTACATTACAAATAATTATTATGTATTACATTTTTTTTTATATAATTTGAATGTGGCCATCCCCACAGTACGTACCTAAATTATTTAATATTTTATTTGTGGATTCACCATTTTGTATTATTATTATTAATTTATTGTTTTCCATACATCGCGCCAAATTTGGCACTTTGACGTGTAACATGTAAAATACATTACGAATAATTACTATGTATTTAAATGTTTTCTTTATTTCATTCTGGCCATCCCCAAAGTACATATTATTAAAAAATCTATCAAAGAAGGCAAGAAAAATAAAGGTGGTTACGTATAACAGGAAGTACCATTTTGGTAGTCTTAGATAACAGGATTGTGATGTTTCACAAAATAAGTGCGGTAGTCTCGACAACGGAGGTAGTCTTGGGTGGTAGTCTCGATAACAGCCGTAGTCTCGTATACAGGCACGTAGCCAGAAAATTTCTACTAGGGGGGGCCCATAATGTTTGGCCCTTTTATTACTTTCCATAATTTTTCTTTATGAAATTCTTGTAAGGGGTATGCAATACAAAGAATCTTATTAATTTAAATAATTTACCTTTAGTTGGTAATTGGTTAAAATTATTTTTTTCACAACAAGTTATACCTAATACTTACTTATTTAAGAATTACAAAAATAGAAAGTACCTGATAACAAAAAAAAAAAATAAATATAGAATTACCTACATCTTCACTTATGGGATACATTTTTCATGCTATGAAAAATAAATCTACATACATATTTAAAATAATAAGCTGCTTCAATTGTTTAACTTCAAAAATTAATTCATATTTGAATACTTATCAAAAATAATAGAGATAAATGATCATCGATTTTTAAATTAATATAATTTTTAAAGAAACTCAAATTTATTAAAAAAAAAAAAAACACATACTAGTAGAAAATATTAATAATA